ATGTCGGCTGATTAAAAAGTTCTGCGGCTGGGATTCGATCCCTCGGCCGTCGGATTCCGGACCACACGCCTGCGCGCTCGCCACTCGGCTGTCGGTTCGACTTGTCAGCGAGGATTCCAGAACTCGATACGAGTCTTGGTCTGCCGGGTTGCACGCGTTCAGGTCGGGTCAAGTCCACCTCCTCGACGCGCTGCAGCCCGGGTCGAAATTCTTGCAAAAAGGCAAATAAATGTACTCTCTGCTAGCCTAACCTAACCTCCTCGCGATTATGGGGCTCTTTTAGTGGCTATTTTCCTTGTTTCTGGCCAGTCGTCGACCCGGGCTTCAGCGCGTCGAGGAGGTGGACCTAACACGACCTGAACGCGTACAATACGGCAGATCAAGACCCGTACAGAAGGAACGAGTTCTGAACTCTCCGCTGTCAAGTCGAACCGACAGCCGAGTGGCGAGCGCGCCGGGGCGTGGTGCACAAGACACCGTCGGTCCTGGGTTCGTGTCCCGGTCGCGGCGAACATTTTGATTTTTAGGGTGGGGGAGGGGCGGGCATCAGTTGTCGGTCAAGTCCACCTCCCCATGTCTGCTGGTTAAAAAGTTCTGCGGCTGGGATTCGATCCCTGGGCCGACGGTTTCCGGACCACACGCCAGCTCGCTCGTAACTCGGCTGTCGGTTCGACTCGTCAGCGGGGAGTCCAGAACTCGATCCTGCTTTACGGGTCTTGGTCTCCCGGGTTGCACGCGTTCAGGTCGGTTCAAGTCCACCTCCTTGACGCGCTGCAGCCCGGGTCGAAATTCTGTCCAAAATGCAAATAAATGTACGCTCCGCTAGCCTAACCTAACCTCAGCGCGCCCGGGGGGCTCATTTGCTGGCTAATTTCCTTGTTTCTGGCCAGGAGTCGACCCGGGCTGCAGCGCGTCGAGGAGGTGGACCTGACACGACCTGAACGCGTGCAATACGGCAGATCAAGACCCGTGAAGAGGGGCCGAGTTCTGAACTCTCCGCTGACAAGTCGAACCGACAGCCGAGTGGCGATCGCTATGTTGCGTGGTGCGCAACACACCGTCGGTCCTGGGTTCGAGTCCCGGTCGTGGCGAACATTTTGATTTTTAGGGTGGGGGAGGGGCGGGCATCTGAGTTGTCGGTCAAGTCAACCTTCCCATGTCTGCTGGTTAAAAAGTTCTGCGGCTGGGATTCGATCCTTGGGCCGACGGTTTCCGGACCACACGCCAGCTCGCTCGTAACTCGGCTGTCGGATCAACTTGTCAGCGGAGAGTCCAGAACTCGATCCTGCTTTACGGGTCTTGGTCTACCGGGTTGCAGCGCGTCGAGGAGGTGGACCTGACCCGACCTGGACGCGTGCAATACCGCAGATCAAGACCCGTAAACCAGGACAGAGTTCTGACCTATGCAAGGGATCGAATCCCAGCCGCAGAAATTTTTAACCAGCCGACATGGAAGGTGGACTTGACCGCCTAGTCAGCAGCCCCCCCCCCAAAAAAAAATAAATAAAAAATAATGAATAAATCATCAGACTGTTCGCCTCGACCAGGACTCGTCCCCAGGGCCGACGGTGTCTTGTGCACTACGCCCCACCGCTCTCGCCACTTCGCTGTCGGCTCCAATTCTCAGTGTAAAGTTCAGAACTCGACCCTGCTTTACGAGTCTTGGTCTCCGGAATGCACGCGTTCAGGCCGGTTCAACTCCACCTCCTCGACGCGCTGCAGCCCAGGTCGACTTCTGTTTTTCTCTTATTCTATTGAAACTCGAATGTATTAGGTTACACTGTCGGAGAGTCATACTGAACTGTAAGAAAAAAAAAAAAAAAAAATGAAAAAAATGTGTCACTAAATTAACCGTTGATGTAAATGTCAGTGTCTCAAGGTAATTGACGGACAAGACGAACAAGCCAGCAAAGTTTAATACTGCAACATATTAGAACAAAATCTCCAAAATATAATTAACATTTTTATACAGTTTACACTTGGGGTATGCTGCGTCACTGATCTTTTATTTACCAGATTGATAGAGTAAGGAATGTGCATGCATGCCACATAAAAGCAAATTCTTTTCAACAATCCCTGGTAACTTTCAGAACACACCTTAAAACCTATGAATAACATGGAATATTTGGAAGGAATAAGAAATTAAAATTTCTATCTCTCTATGTTAAAATGCAGACAGCATTTATTTCATGATGATTAAAAGAATTCAGGGCTGTAACCTACCATTGAACACAGAAACCACAAATTCTTGATAACAAGCCAATATACATTTTGCATCACTAATCTACAATGTTTAATTCAATATCCAAGCTCGTATTACTTTATGAATGAATTGATGATGCAATTTTTACTTGAAATTGGACAGATACGACATTATCAGATCACCCTCCAATTTAATATGCATTTAAAATTCAGAACAATTGAGATGAATAGGCAAATCTGACATGAAATGAAAATTTACCCTACAGTTGGTGATGACCCACTAATGAATGATTTTGGGCCATTTCTCCATCCCAACCTGATCATGAAACTTGAAAACAATTTTGAATTCATACTTCAACTTTTTTTTTTTTTTCACCCTGATGGAAGTTTTAGAGCTTCTACTTGGCAGGCTGGATCTGGAAGTTCTTGTGAAGTTCTGGCTTGATGTCATACACTAGTTCCAAAATCTTCTCAATAACCTGATAAAATAAAAGCAGATATTAAAAATATGCAATGCACAGGGCTTTATTTTAATGTGTGAAATTTCATTTTATTTTAAATACACATCAGAACTAATTTTTTACCTGTTCCTTGTGAGTTGTGACTGCTTTGTTCATCTCATTGATCCGCAGTTTGGTGTCAGCTTCAATGCGAGCAGAAACATCCTCCCTGGAGCCCATATGCTGTCACATAGAAAACAGACGGATGAGTAAATGAGTAAACAAAATAAAGAATAGAAAATGAATAAAAACCCAAGGTACAGCACATATCCTAGTACATGTGTAATACCTTGGCTTCAAACTCCTTGAACTGCCTTTCTCGTTCCTGCCTGTACTTTTCAATTTCATCTTGAGCTTCTTCCTTTGCCTGCTTCAAACGACGGGCCTTGCCTAAAAAATAAATCAAAAAAATCCATGAAAATAATTGTAAGTTTCATAAGTTTAAAACCCTAGGAAACACTCTTAGTGTACTCCGATAAAGGATTTAGATAGAAAAAGGTCATATTCATACACAGCACATTAACGCGAATGTGACAGATTCTTTAAACACCTATGGTACAACTTCAGCTGAACCAGTGCATGGGCGATTAAATTTCACAATGCCAATAAACGTGCTTTTTTCATAACAGGACTAGCACAGAGACTTTGTTGGGATTACGATGATAAATGTTACCAAAGTAGGATGGAAAAATAGAAAATATATGACAGTTACAGGACGGTAGGTTAAGACCTGAAACCTTCTGTAGATGACAAATGGGTTGAAAACATATTCACCAGCTACAGATTTAAAGTTAAACATTTCTTCGTTTTCATATGAAATGGATAGACGTTTGCAAACGGTGCAAATAGGGAAAAAGTAATTAAACACGGAGCAGAAAGAGCTCGTGATTGGGGTCACATGAGAAGCTTAGTTTCTGTTTCCAACAGAATAAATAACATATTTAAAGAATAGAAAGTGAAGAGAACACGTTACTTACGCTTCCTAGCCTCGGAAACCTTTTCAGCAGCCCGTTTTTCGGCTGCCAAAAGCTGCTGAATTCCTTGAGTTTGGCTGGCCATTTTCAACACCTGAACTGGACGTCCCGAGATCGATCATATGACTGCTGGTGGAGAGTTGTTCCAACAGAGGGCGTGTTAGTCGACTACGTCAACAGCGAACGTCTTTTGTTACTTTGGTCACGTGAATATTTTGGCGCTTGATTTAAAAGTGTGTGAGCAGCAGCGCTACCGACTGCACCATTGAGGCGAGATACGAGGGAATCCCAAAAATGTTATCGCCATCTTTTGATCTGTTGTTCTCAGCACCTCAAAACGCACAGATAGGTATTTGTTGGATAAACAACTTAAAACACTGGCTCAGTGGGATAGCGCGCCCGCTCCCGCTCAGGGCGTGGACGTCGCCGGTTCGAATCTCCGTCGATCTGAAATTTTTCTCAGGCCACCAAATTTCAAATGGACTCCACACCCGCTATTTCATGGCAAATGATTCGGCTCTGGGCTGGGTTCGACTCACGGCGAAAGCGAGCCGTGGGAGTTCCCCGTTGCCTGGCACCTTGCCGTGTTGGTGGGTCTAATAAGACTTGTGAATCTGATCCCTTTACGAACTCAGATGTCGCTCTGCGCTGGGATTAGGAAAGTACTCCCCCACCCATTTTTGTTTTTACTTTTGTCCGTGTGCGTGTGTGTGGGGGGGGGGGGGGCAAGAACATTATTTCTACAGTCGGTAAATCCGCCTGTAGTCGTGTCGGGTGTAGCTACGGCGACGAAGACAAAAATAATTGCTCTCCGTCAAAACAGTCTCGTTTTATTTTGGTTAGCTGGGGAATAGATGCTGGAGGAAAGGGGGAGGGCATCAGATTTGGAATGCCACGGCGAGGGCGAGGAAGATCAGGCTGTAGATGACGAACAGCACGCGGTCGACCGCCGCGGCCAGCAGCAGCCACTCGAGGTTCGGGCTGACGCTCTTGCTGCCTATCTCCAAGGAGGAGCTGGCCGTGCACTCGGACTGGCCGTCCATGTCTACGTTCATCACGGGGACCTCGTCCTGGAGGCCCGAGCAGGAGCGCGCCGGCGACCGGCGGGTGCAGGGGCCGCGGTCCACGCCCATGATCTGGAAAGGAGCGGGGGCGGGGTCAATCACAATAATTTACACACTTTCACTGTCGGTGCCGAGGTACAGTTCTTGTCGTTGTCTACCTGTTCGATGTAGCTGCTGAGCAGAAGGACGCGGCCGAACGTCCCCGTGAGGAGGCGCTTCGCCGTCCAGGGCAGCCCGGTCGAGTGCTGATGCCTGGAGATGTTGAGCACCACCACGGCCACGACCAGCGACATGCACACGAGGTACAGGCTGGCCGAGTAGAACACCACTGCGAACAGAAACGAGTCGTGCAGCGCGCGGGGTAGAGAGAGAGAGAGAGAGAGTGTCGGAGTATCGACGCGGGCCTTACCGATAAAGGGCGTCTGGTTGGTGAGCACGGGCAGACTGTGCGCGAAGTAGATGAGGAAGAGGCAGATGAGCACGGCGTTCACCCCACCCAGGATCACCTTCTCGCCGGCGCGCGGCGGCATCAGGAATGTAGACAGGCAAAGGATGACGACGACTGCCAGGGCAAACACGACCGTGAATAGTGAGGCGAGAACAGCGTGGTGGTGGTGGACCAGGGATTCGATGACCTTGACTATTTCGCAGAAACGATGCCCCGGGTGTCCAGACTGAGACATGACAGACGCTGGCGGGGGAGTGGCGAGTGGCATCTGCCCCACCACTCCCCGGCCACCTGCCTCGCGCCTGCAGGCCCCTGCAGCCAAGTGCATAGGCAAACCATCGTACTGCCATGTCTTGGCCTGGACACACCCGGTGCAGTGCGCGGGTGGGTTTGCATACCGTCACGGTGCCTTACGGGCCCGAGCGAGTAGGCAACCCTCGTGCTACAAAATAGTCAGGCGTCAGGTGGATCGGTGTTGTATGAAACAGTCCAAGAGAGGGCCGCTGACGTGGCCACCCTCCGACACGCACCTGCGGCGGGGGCGAAGATGACCGCGTTGTAGGTGCCGGGCTCCCGGTGCAGGGCGATGGAGTACACCACGCCGTCGAAGGGCTCGGGCACGCCGTCCTCGCGCCTCTCCTCGAAAGTCTGCTCCACCCGGTCCACGATGAACTCCCCGGTCTGCTCACCTGGGAACTGAAACAAAGAAGTGGTTCCCGTGTGGTGAACCCCGGTGCTTTTTTCCCTCCCCACAAACAATTCTGGCAAAGCACACGGTGAGAGCCGAACCTCTAGCTTGTGGCTGATCTCGCCGATCTTGAGCTCCTTGGAGCTGAGGGTCCACGAGCCGAAGTGCAGGGAGCACACGTGTCGCTCGAAGGGCCACTTGCGCAGGTCCAGCTGGCAGTACGCCTCGAACAGAGCGGCCGGCCTCCAGACGATGCGGCCGTCCGAGTGCAGCTCCGCGCTGGCGCCGCCCAGCAGGCTCACGCCCTTACCTGCCCAGCTCGAGAACCAATCGATCGATGAATTAAACTCGTCCCAGATAAAAGATTAAGTTATTAGTAAACACTGAAAATTTTCACTCGAAAAAATCGTTACAAGTTTTTTT